AGCTGTAAATGGGCATCATTTCACTGAAGCTCATGGATTTACACCTCTTAGTATCAGTTGGGGATCTGATCCATTATTTGTGGACTCTTAAGTTCCTCACTAAGTTTTGCTTCTTTCTTTACCACAAAAGTACTGACAGGAAAATGTTAGTATCCACGCTTCTCTTAGTATCTTTCTTATTAATTTCAGTCAGCTCTTTTTTTAGTGACTTTTAACTTTGATGTTGCTAAATACGACCACACTCTGAAGACTCTCGGTACCGGCGAATCTGTTTTCCTGGAATATCTTGTGTTGTTTTCAGAACTGCATGATTGTGTGACATCTGCTCCACATCTCATACGTGATCGACTGAGTAGGTACAACCGTGGCAGATGGCTGATGACTCACCTCACAACACTGAGGTTTGCTTTCTGAGAAGCAGCATCTTCATATTCATTTTCTAGGAGTCTTACAAAGATGTGACTGGTCTGCCTGGTTTGATAGCCGGTAATGGAAGTTACAGGAAATGCAACAGCAACGTGTATTCTAGGACTCAGGGTAATATTTTAAAATTCAGTTTATGGGCTACTATCAGATAAATCCACAAAAGGAAATCAGGTTCACTGCTGTACTTTCTAAATTTTAGGCATCTAAATAGCAAAACCTGGATCCCTGAACTAGATGGAGATCTAGGCTTCCTATGCAAAGGAGATACAGAATAATATTCACAGAAGCTGTTCACTTGAGTGAGGAATCAGGAAACACCAGAGAAAAGGATATACCTTAAACCCTGTTCTCTCTGTGATTTGGCTGCTCTGTTCCAGGCTGGGGGGAATACCACGAAGATTCCCAGATCACGGACCTGGGTAAAAGGACATTCCCAGCTCTTCTAACATTCCATGCTAGATAACATATGCACCTGCTATACCAGAGACCTTTGATCTGTTCCCTTCTCCGTTGACTGTCGGATTGAAACAGGCACAGCCCAGACAGCACGTGTAGCTTGGGTAGGCTAAGTTCTTATTAGTTGTAAGGAAACTATTGCAAGAAGCCACAAGTTTACTCATAATGACTTTGCTTCGCAAAGTTAACTTTGTTCATTACTAAAATTAAAGAACCTCGGTAACAGTTTGTTATCCCCTCTCATTCCTACAGACTCCTTGGCCTGGCAGAACAAGATGACTGCAGGGAATTCCAAACAGCCATTCCTAAACCACTTAATTTGCAGCTCTATGCCAAGACTGCATGCATATATTAATTTAAAGCTAAATATTGTTATATACATTGCAGTAGCTTAAATCAGTAAACATCAACTTGTTTGCAAGCACAGGATTTCCATATTAAAAATGTACTTAGTGTTATAACAACCATATCCATATCCAAATCCTTTAGGATCAAAAAAGCCATGCCAGCCTCACAAGCATCACATCAGAATGTGACTACCCAGCTTACACATGCTTCAGTCCCAAAGACTAGCACATCAAAATGCTTTAGTGGCCTGTTAACTTTTTTTTTAGTCTTTCTGTGTCAGAGACGTATCATTTCCATTTCCACTACCCTTATGTCAACTAACAGAAGTTCCTAATCAGCCAAGTCTCTCGGAGGCTCAACTGCTACTGCCATTAACATTACCAAGGACCCGTACATGACTAACAGCTGTGTCCTAAGGAAACTGAACTCATACCTTCCATTTCCACATAAACTGCCCTAAAGTTAAAGAGCATCCCAGGAAGAAAAGAAGGGAGGAGATGATGGGTAGAGAGGAAAGAAGGAAGATGTTGCCATTGCTGATTCTGATTCATCCCATATGGAACATATATTAATCAGGTCTGACAGAGGAAGCCAGCAAGGGTGAGCAGGACTATAATCCAGCAGTTACAAAGACATATTAATTAGATTAAGGGCTGCAACATTGTTCTCTTTCAAACATGGATGCCATGTCCATGAGTATTTGGAGTCATGTTCTCCATCCCTCTAGCCCAAACTATTTTCCATTAAAAAATAGCGGAAGTGCTTCAGCAGAAAATATTTAAAATACCTCTGACCAGAATGACCTAGAACTCAGTAGCCAGAGCCATGGCCACAGAAATGGACTACAGCATTCATGTTCCTGGCAACAGGGAGGGGAAGTGAGAATGTCTGCCCTACATCCTGGGTAAGTATTCCAACTACTAGGCAACACCTCTAAGGGAAACTGCCTCTCTTCTATGATTCTATTTATTTTATTTTTATTAGAAAGGCATTGCTGAACACCATTAAGACAAAAGCTTTAGTTGTGTTTAAATGATCAATATGGTTGGATTCTCTGAACTGCTAAACATAAAGGAAATTCTTCAAATGGTACCGGTGTCACTGTTCCCTGACAGCTGGTAACTAAAAACCCCTGCATGCCCCAAAACAGCAAAAGCTGAGTCTCCCTCCCCCAAATGGTATGCAATGATGGTAGCTAATCCACACAGAAAAGATCTTTTGGGGCTGATAATTCTCTCTCAGTAATTTTGTCATTCAAATTCCACTAACAACTGTTGAGTTTACTCCGTGGTGCCAAAGAGGTATGTTAGATCCTTCAACTTCAAGCTATCCAGAGCTTACTCGGCTCATTTGGCACCTTGGTGTTGCTGACACATGCAGAACTTTAACAGATGGTCTTACAATACTGGCAGTTGTTTTGTACTGTGCTAGTGGTGAGGGGAAATACTCTACACAAATTGTCTGCAATTCTGGAAAATAAATGAAGTACAAATCCATATTAACCTCAAAAGCCAAACTATAAAAAGTCAGATTAGTCATTTAACGATGTATGCGCTCTGAGTTAAATGCTCAGTTGCTGCAAAATGGCAATATTTCCCTGCAGCCAGGAGAACTATGCTTTGCTTCAGTTTCTACCAGGAATATCCATCAAGACTATATCATTAGAAAGGTATCAAAATGCATGAGGAATAAGCCTTGAGACACGTGATCATGTGATCAGCCCTGACTATCAGCAAAAGTACCTCCATAATGTGGATGTTTTCACATAAACTGTGAAGCAACAGGGTGTAACTTAACTGAATCTCTCTTTTTTCCCGTGCCAAACAGAATTCAAGAAATAAATAACACATCAGCTACCGTGCAAATGTTGAAATCAACAGCGATGATCAAGTAAACAGCAATTTTACATTCTTCCTCACCCAGTTAAAAAGAGCTGTACGTACCATAAGCTGAATTTTACACTCACTAATTTCACTGGCTGCAGTGGAACTTGCACTGTACGTAAAAGACCAGAATTGCTTCTTCTTGTTTCTAAACAAGGCTAAATTTTTCTCTTTTATTGTGCCAAATTATCTGATATATCAACTGGGTTGAACAAGTAAACCACATATGCAGAATAGTGCTTTTCAAAAGTAAACCCAATTATTTCCTTCACCAATATATACCCGCCATGAAATGCATGTTCACACATACGTATTACAATCTACTAGTGCAAATGTAGAACAGGCTTTTAGAGAATCACAAATGTTTTTGTCCACTGCTCACCTCTTCTGTTCGCTTTAAATGAAACATAGCTCAAAAGACATTTCAAACTGAGATTTCAGAGGCTTCGTCATTCTGTTCCCATCCATTTCAATATATTTAGTTAGATAATATCTCGGTCACCTTGTACGTTATTTTCACAATGTTAGTTACATTGAAATACAGTTCCCTCAGGTAGCTGCAAAGCCCTAGAAGGAAGTAGAACCCTAAAAGCATTATCATAAAAGAGTACTTCAAATGCAAGAGGTACATTCCAGTCTTCTGCTGGGACTGAATCAAAGATGCATCCATTTTTAAAAAATTTTATTTTATCCACTAAGGTTGTTTAAAACCATGGTTGCTGGAACTGGCGTAATACGTTTGTGACTTTGATACAGGTGAGAAGATCTTTATCAGTTTTATGTCTAATTTTATACTGAAAGATCAAACAACTCCTAAGTTTGAAGCTGTTAACAAAAAAAAATAAAAAAATTAAAACAACTAAATTTCAGATAGGTTTCATGTTTTCTTTTCCTCCCTCAGGACTTTTGCTAGACTAAGATGACACAACATAATTCCAGAAAGCACTTACACAAATGCAAGATAATCTGTCTCTGAAAGCATAAATTATTTCTCACGACAAAAGAAAAATCAAAAGAAATGTTAAGCAGACACAGTCAAAATGTAGGAACATCAATACCTCTGCTTCGCTTCCCAGGCGTAAACATTTTGTCAAACACTTCAACCTATGATCCTCAATGTAGCACTTCGCTGTGAAATTCCCAGGAGAGAAGAGGAGTTGGTATACCTATTTTAGTACCAATAATACAAGCATGTCCTATCCTGGGAAGCGGTCCTCCCTTACAGATGCAGAATATGAGATAATATGATGGGAAAACTTCATGATCATCCTTCCAGTTACTGAGAGTCTTCCCAGCTTCTACTGGTCAGGGCTATCCCCTTCCTGGAGCCCATCCTCTGCAGAGCTCACCACAGGTCCACCGTGAACATTTCCTGCTCTTGGAACATATAGAAACCTTTCTGGCAAGAGGGACATGAAAGGAAAGGAGTCTCTTGGGGATACAAAAGGCTAAGGGAAGGGGGCAGGAGCCCAGGATTTATTTTATCCATTCTAACAATATCCAGCACTCTACCAGACACCTTCTAGGGAAGTTTCAAGTAGTCTTGGACTAAACAATAATGGAATCATCTGCCTACAGCTGCAAGCAAAGGTCATTCTTAATGATTTGGAATACTACATTTGGCAAAACAGTAGAGATTCAGGGGATTTATAAGTCTAAAAGAGAAAAAAAGCCCAAACAAGTGCAACATTTCCACAAAGAGGAACTAACATCTGCTAGTGAATAAAGATCTTTGTGCTGCAATTCACGTCCCAAGCTGGACATTACTCAATTTTGATATAACAAAATCCTATGGAATCAAATGCAGTTTGTCTTTGTGACTTATCTCTTTGCCTGTCCTACCTAATATTTTCTGAAATAATATCCAAAACCTTTCTTCTGAAATACCTTTATAGTTTCAGTAGGCACTCCAGGCTCTGGAACTTTATCCAAGTAAGTAGTCAAGTCTTGATCCACGTGTTCAAACACTAATGTTAACTTGGTCTCTCTGTCTGTTCGTGACACGGTGCACACATCAAACAATCTGAGAGGAGGAAAAGAAAAGAGGAGGTAAGTATACAGGAACCAGTACAGACATACATACCTTGCAGCTCACACATGTCTATTTAAATTTCTTACTGCATATAGAATGGAAAAAAAGAGCTTTCCAAAGGTAGAGCCATCTTTGAGCTCTTGATTCATCAGACAACTACTGATACATCAATAATATCATATCTCTCTTTCATGTGTGGATTCTGAAATAGGATTAAGCATGAAGAATTCATCAGCTGTTTGAAGTAAAATAATTACATGAAAAGAAAATATTTTGGACAGAGCAACTAGAGTTAATACAGAAAATTCCTTGATATTTATCCACATTCAGCAGCAGCACTTACAGTCATTTAAAAAAAATTTGCAAGAAACATTTTTGAGAAAAAAATATACAAGGTGTTTGCATGCACCTTCAGTTTCTTCCCTCATAACTCCCATGCTCACTATTACATGGCTTTATAATTAAATCTCCTTTGGCAGAAAGAGAATTTTTTTGCTGATTACTCTTGCCAGTTCCTGGATGCAACGAAAACCTTCAGAGTGAAGATACAGTCTGGAAAAAAGCTTTTGCTTTTTGCACAAGATGCCACTACTAAGAAAGCTTTCTTCTCTCATCGCTTTCTGTCATTCTTTTACTGAAATTTCTTCGTCATATCACCTTGTTGCACAACATCAACTTCTAACTAATTTGCAAAGCTCTTCATAATGTCACATTCCTATCCGATTACTCTATTTTCTATTGTTTTCTCTTTTTAATTAGGATTTCTTTCATCTTCCCCACTTCACCCACCGTACCAGCTTTAATCCCTGTTTTATCTTTATCACAAACATCTGCCCATCTTTCTGTGCTTCACACCTATGCTCATGCCAGTGACTTTCGCTATCCTTCCTCAAGTCCCACTTCTACAAAATCACAATAGGAAACCATCATACAGACAGAAGGATGCTTGTTGCCGGCTCACATACTTCACTAACGTGTATATTCATTTAGTTTTAAATTGTACAGATTAGATGATTGCTTTTCTCTCTGAAATGATGTAGAAAACCAATTTCTACTTTTATTAGGTGACAGCAGATTTAAAAAATATATGGATACAGTCATTGAGAAAAAAGTCTCTGCAGTAAAACTGAAGAACTTATCATTGATAACAAACCAAAGTAGTGTTGATACTACTGCTTATTTTGGTCAACATCATAGCAGTTACATTGTTTTATTACATGTATCTGTCATCCTCTTGCTTAGAATAACTGCTTCCTTGCTTTGTGCAAAGTGCAGGATTTCTGATAACATTATCAAGTAATTTTTTTGTTCTTTGTCCTAGCACTAAAGGTATTATATGCAGGATTGGTAGACAACAGATCATGCAAAAAGCCTTGGGGGTCACTGCTCTTCAAAGAGGACATCTGACAAACAGACTAGGAAAACGCTTTGTACTGAGTTTTTACTTCTTACCTTAAATCTGAAAATATTTCACAAGAGAAGAAGAAGATAAGAATTGGCACACCTATCTGTGAGGACTGTCATCCAGGTTAAGAGAGCAGCATGTTTCACTTGAGATGATAAAGACTTAACATATAAAGGCCGTTGTCTCACTTTCCTAATTTCCTAAAATTTCCAATTTCCTAAATTGTCTTTGGTCAGACACTTAAAAATTGTTTAGTATCCACCATGTTTTGAAAACGGATTCATGTACATTCCTTTTAGCTTAAAGAAGCTTTTCAGTGAGTAACAATTTGGGAACCAGAGTTACAGAACACGGAGAGACTGTCACTCTACCTCTACTAGAAGACTAATCTGTACTTAATCTGTAATCATCATGTGAACAAATATTAATTGAATTATTATGGTAACATAGTGACTGTAACACTGTGTCTTGGCACATTTCTCAAAAAGACAAATACGGTTCTCTTTATAATTCCCTTAATGGGGCGTACACGGAAGATAGATGTTCTGTACACAGTAAATCAGTTTTGTGAAAAGTCACAAACCTTCCTGAAAAGTGAAACTTGCTGGTATTTGGCTGGAGTTTAATAATCTGCAATATATTCATATAAATCAATGTGGAATGTAGCCAGACTGCCTATAACCCCAACACATGCAAATAGAGAGGAGCCAGACAGGTCTGAACATCTGAACATAAACACTGGAAAATATTTCCAACTGTATGATTCCTTTGTGTTGACCTACATTTACCTAAAAATGTTCTAAACCACCTTTTTTTGCCAGGTATTTAATACATTTTTCAACTATAGCAGAATTATAATTCAAGAAAAAAAGGAAAAAAGATTTCACTGTATAGAATATAGACGCGACACATAATTTCCAACTTGCTGTGGAGGGAAATGCTGATTCTCTATTTAAGTCTTCTGTACGTGGCTTATTTTGATTCTGGCATTTTCTGGCACAGCAAAATAAGGAACTCAGAGGAACATGATTCTAGTCACCTATTACTGAGTAATGATATTATCACTGAGTAATAATATTATCTTTCCTTTTTATACACCCTTTATGTGAAACTCTAAATGCTTTACTGTTAATAATAAAAACTCCAGATCCTGCACTGGGCTGGGTGGAAGCACACTGTGTTTACTCACACAGAAAATACAGCTGCTGCCTCAGAAAGATAATCATTTAAAGCACAGCTTATATGGATCTGCGATATTACAAAAAGACAACATCTGGCATTGGCCATGCTAATCATTCTGGAAATAGGTTGAGAAAGACACAGCCTCTTTATTTAGTAGCTTCCACAGGGATAAAGCTACTTTTTATAAATTATATTCTTTTACATCCACTGTGAGAAAATCATCCATAGAGTTGTCGTCTTTAGCTAGGAACATCTCTGCTGTCTGCAGTGCACAACTCCCAAGCCATTTCCTCATTATTTTCTGTACGTGACAGGTTAGTTTTGCATGTGATTGCCTCTCTGGAACAGGCAACACCAAAAGGCCTTTTATTTAAAGAGTTACTATGTGGACACTGTCCTAAGTGAAGTAAATGTACCTCAATTAATACAGGATTTCCATACTAAACACTTTGTAAACACAAGCCCTGCCCTTCTATTGTACTTACAAAAGAAACGTTTGAATTATTTGATTAAAGTAAGATCCGCTATGGGAAATCCTGCAAGTATTTAACAAGATGTTTGGCTGGGAGTCATACACCGCCTGATGTGTTGATCTGAACTGGAACATTGTTGAACAGACACTTATGGAGTACCTGTGTTTTAATGCAGACATTTTTTCAAGTTAGTTGTACTGAAGTAAAAAAAAAAAAAAAAAAAAAGATTATCAGCTACAAATCTATGTCTCTGTTTTATTTTGTGTCTTGTGCCTAGTGGATCTTACTATAACCTAGTAGAATACCTGCCTTCTTACAAAAACAGTTGTTTTTTTTGAATGCGGAAAACTAGATGATGCATCTTGAAGTCTCCATAGCTTCTTACGACAGTAATCTGACAAATGCAACCTCAGTTCATCTTCATTTTACAATACACAATCTGAATGCTTAATGCTTTTATAAGAAAAGACAGTTATGCCAATCCCTTTGAAAACTATTGCATCTACTGACTGGTACTAATTTGATAACAGCTTGTAGAAAGTTGTAAAATGTTACTGGACTTGCTTTTGGGATGCTCTGAGAACGGCTATAAAGTTACCCACTTTCAAGTGGAATAAACAATTTTTCCTGAGCAAACTGAGATAACAGTAATGGAGATCAAACCAATCAGCCCAAAACACCTGAAAAAAATACCAAGAACCAGACCTGACTAAGACCTGAAAATGAAAAACTGTAGGATATCAGTTCTCTTGGCTATTGTCAAACAGATTGGTAAATACATCTGGAAATTTAACCAGATGATAGTCAAAGGAAAGACCAAAGAATTAGATACTTGCTGCCAATGCATCCAAAGGCTTATTGTTATTTTTATTGCAGCATGACTAATCTAACATGAACACATACCCCTTTACTTTGCTGGTCACTCACTGCACTGATCAAAAACATAGGCCTTGCCCTCTCAAGTTTTTCAATAATATGGATTTACTTTAATTTTCTTGGGAACAGTATCTTTCTAGGAAGAGTCACTTCCTAGCTTATGCATGACGGAGAAAGAGAACTGGAGTAGGAGAAATGTTTACGACTGTGGTGTGGTAAGTAGCGGCATAGTAATATGTTTTATAAGTCTGGACAAAGACTCAGATGGAAAGAGGTGGTGGTCTCAACCTAACCCCAAAAGGTTTTTATCCACTTGACAGAAAACCAGCACAGAATTTATGTATGATTGACAGTGTTTACGCAAACACCACAGGATTGGGATACCAAGACTATTACAGGTCATGATTGAGGTTTACCTTAGAATCATAGAATCATGGGATCATAGAATCATAGAATGGTTTGGGTTGGAAGGGACCTTGAAGATCCTCTAGTTCCAACCCCTCTGCCATGGTCAGGGACACTTTCCGCTAGACCAGGTTGTTCAAAGCCCCATCCAATCTGGCCTTGAACACTTCCAGGGATGGAGCATCCACAACTTCTCTACCAAGCAGATCCCTGAAGAGGCCAAAGTCTGCTCTCCTGAAGCCCAGGGTAGTGAGCTTGCTATGCACCCTCTTTGCTGTCCTAAGGATCTTGAACTTCACCATTTCATGGTCACTGCAGCCAAGGCTGCCCTTGAGCTTCACATTCCCTACTAGCCCCTCCTTGTTGGTGAGAACAAGGTCCAGCATGGCACCTCTCCTCATCAGCTCCTCTATCACTTCGAGAAGGAAGTTATCATCAATGCATTCCAGGAACCTCCTGGATTGCTTATGCCTGGCTGTGTTGTCCCTCCAATAGATATCAGGGTGGTTGAAGTCCCCCATGAGGACCAGGGCTTGTGAACATGAGGCTGCTTATTCTATCTCTCTACAGAGGGCCTGATCTGCTCAGTCTTCCTGGTCGGGTGGCCTGTAGCAGACCCCCACTATAGTGTCTCCTGTCCCTGCTCTTCC